CATCTCAGATTCACGGAGTGGGAGCTCTGTGCGGATATTTATTTAAGACTTTCCTTCTCCCATAAAATACCCGAGTCCTTACTGATCCTTTTTCCACGCTGCTGCTCCTCTCTGGTTCCCATTTTCTTACTGTTGGTGCTCTGCCTGAGAGCACAGGGATAAATGATGGCTAAGCCCAGCCCAGGGGCCGCCCAGGACCCCACATTTCTGTGGCTCCCCAGGTCAGAACTCTGTGTGCCCTCCCGAGTGCCAGGACCAGGACGATGAGCATTCAAGGGGAGGGAGAATGTGAGCCCTCTTTCATGGTCAGAACAGGGAAGAAAGGAGGTGTCTGGCCATGCTCATGCCTTTAGGCTCCAGGGGAGATTACTATTATTTTCTGTAAATTCACAATCCCTTCAGAGTGTTTTTTGGACACCTCCAGGAGCTGTAGTGGAAGGGAGCCAAGTTACTTACCTGAAACCTCCCAGATCTCACACACAGGCCTTTCCTGACCAGAGTGGTTCATCTTCACAGCACAGGAGATACAGGACAGCTGTTTTTTACCTTCTCTTCCCAGTCTGGCTCACATGAAGAGCTTACCTTGGGTACCACCGAGGGACAGAGGGATTCTGGCACGTGCATTACCTAAATCCCACTGTGGACATAGGTTTGATAAAGGCATCCTTGACAGAGACTGGCTTTCAGAGGCCAGTCCAACACCTCAATCCACAGCTACTCCACAGATGATGAATAGATGTCACCCCAAACTCCCATCACAAAATATTACCTCTCAGCATCTTAATAAATACACTTCTTCCCTTCCTTGGACTGATCCCTTATTACATTTCAGGGCCTGGCTTACAAAGGACAGGTTCATTTGCTAATACATGAATCATTATTGCTTTGAGCCTCTGAGCTAGCATTTTTTATGAGCACGTTTCAAAATGTATTTGATTGCTGTTAGAAATCATTTTGGTTCACGCTCGACAACCAGGCCAACCTAAGCCAATATGCCCTGCTTGGCACTGTGGAAAGATGTTGTGAGAATTTAATTACTAACTGCAAGTTACTGTGCATATGGTGAATTTTAAGTGGACTGTTTCTTTTATTTTTTTTTTTTTGCCTCCAAGATAAAAAACCCCAGTTGTTTAACTCCAGCTTATTAAGATCTCTATCTAGCAGCCCTGATAAAATTGTTTCAGATTGTATACCCTACAGAGAACAGCATGCTGCCTTTTCCTATCCATGAGCTGCCTGCAGACCATAAATGCCATCCAAGCCAAAGTGAGTCCTCTTTGCCCTTCTGTGAGCCTGGGCTAAACGTTAAGAGATTAGATTTACTTCACTGCCTTCATGTAAGAAAGCTTTTGGAAAAAAACATTTGTTTTATGTGATAAGGTACAACAAAACACCACTAGAACAGAACTTCTTAGTTCTGGCAGCAAGAGTCTCACCTTGGGGAAGGGAGGGAAGGATGGATAGTGGAGTTGTAGGCTGTAAAAATACACCTAAAATAGTTTAAATCCACTCACTCTTTACTTCTTGCCTCCTTTTTCACTATTATGATGCTGCTGATGCTCCTCTGCTCTTTGGTTTCTACGTGACATGAAAGCTCTGTGATATTTGTCACACTGATATTTACCCAGAACCTTGTGTTGAATCAGATTTCATCAGCACATTAACAAGGAGGAGGAGAGAGTTTTCAGAATGCCTCTTATTAATACACACACTGCATGTATACCAGGCACATCAGACCTCCAGATTTTCATGAAGTCCTCAGACCTGGCACAAATGAACTGATGAGGGGCCTAATTTTTCTAAGCAGCCAGCATTTTTCTACTTGCTCGAGCTGAATCTTTAGCTGGTGTGTGAAAGAACAGTTCTGTGAGACGCAGTGATGCTGGGTTTACCTCAGGCTAAATTTATCACACACGCATTTTTCAACGCATTTTATAGGAAAAAAGAAAAACAACCTAAAAGTTCATTTTTTTGCCTTGTGCTCAGGCAAAGAAATTAAAAATTTGCTTTGAAAACCTTAGAATTGTGAGGTTTTGAACAGGTTTAATAGTTACACAGAGTCCTCTTCTACTAAACCCTAGTATAAAGAAGGAGAAAAGCCTTGTGTCTCCCTGGCCTGATGGATAGCAAAAAGGGCCTCTGATTCAGACCTAAGAAAGGAGCTTTGGCTCCAGGATCAAAACAGAAAGCAGGCTCCTAAGAGATGAAAAGTGTCCTGACTTTTTTTCTGATAAGGCTGAACACAACACAAATCCCTCACTGCCCCTCAGGAGCCCACTGAAGCTTTGAACTTCATTTCTGTTCAGAAAAAGAAGGCACAATGCAGTAGCCTGGGCCTCGGTATTATGAGATGGTTTGAGACTGGGAGGGAAAAACATGGCTTGGACATGCTGGATGTATTCTGAGTATTAAAAGAAAAAACTCCAACAGGGTTATCATCCAAAAAACAAGGGAAAACATTTTCAAAACACCTGTGTCACTACAATGAGCCTCCACTCTGCTCTCAAGAGCGACTCGAAATGACTTATACCATCTAAAAGGAGAAAAAGTGGAGCCAAAGCTATTTGGGTTCAGATTCACAAAACTATTTAACCGCTTCCCTTTGGTGAGCTGGACCCCAGCTGATCTGCTTGACCTGTATTTGCACCCTTGATGCAGATTCTCATCTCAACCCAACCAGCAAGACCAGAGCACCCCGTGCTTGTCTAGCCCAGACCTCCCCTGCAGGGTGAGAGTGGCCAGGTCAGCACCTCACTGACCCAGAATCATCCTGAACAGGCCCAACATCTTGAAAATTGCTTTTTAACATACAAAAAAAGCAGCTTTGCAATGAAAAGAGCCATTTATTCCGTTTAAACACATCGTTTTCCTGCTTAATTTCCTCCTCCTTGCTGATAGGTGGCAGCAGCTTCTGCACAGAATGCCAGTGCTTGAAGTACACAGGGAATTCCAATAGGTTTTGGCAAATGTTTTCACTGCTAACACACCACAGCACTGACCTGTGTGTTTTGGAGCTCTGTCAACAGATTAGGCAGATTTCGCTGTAATAAACCTCAAAAGCAGAAAAACCTCTCCTGAATCCTGATTAAAATTTCTTTATTAAAGCTCATTTATTCACGAGAAGAACCCAGGGCCTTATCCCTGGGTGAATTGCTGTGTGTCAGTTCACGCTCTCCAGACTGGACCCAGTCAGGATCCAAAAGGATCAACGACACTGCAGGAACAACACATGGCCCAAACCAAACACAGACCAACCAAGCCACGTACAGGCTGAGAAATCATCATCACTGCCACTCACTGCTCAGTTGCAGGCACATATTAATGATTCACAGTTGATTCATGAAGATTTATTGAACCAAAAAAAGGAGAAGGGTGGCTACATCCATGGAATACATTCCTCACAGTGAAAACTCTGAGATTTGGGATAACTCTGCAGTACAAATGTTGTCAGATGCAGAACTGCTGACAGAATATTTACATGAACCTAATTTGGCTGGGTATTATTCACAAAACATTCATTCTAGCCAGCATATGGTACCTTTAAAGGTGATTTTTGCCCTTCCAGGAAATATGTGCTTGATTATAATAGGAAGTTGAGTCTACAGATTGCCTTGGCTTGCAACAGAGCAGCGTCCCTACACAGAGCCCTCAGCGTAGAGTGATGAGGAAATGCCTCACCCTAAAACAGACTCATCCTGGAGATGGAGAGAAATTTGCCCAGGCTGTGCCAGGCCACTCCTCCCGAGGCTGGTTGTATTGTCACCCACCTGAAGCCTACAGCCCACCCCAACTTCCCTGGGCAAACCAGGGAGCTGCTCCGTCACTGCTCTCCCACTTGGGCCGGCGCCGCCCTTAGAGAGGTCAGGAAGGAGAAATCTCATGCACTCAGGTCTCCCCCACTTCTTATTCTGAACCAGAGGGGTGCAAGAGAGCCAGGAATATAGCAGCATATACCAACCTGGTCACCCCACAACCTCCTCCTCCTCCAGCAGCAGCAGTGGGGCAGGGAGCTCCTCCTCGCAGAATGGATGGAGGTGTCGCACCCTCCTCGGATGCTCTGCGCTCTTCGATCACAAACTGCACGCTTTGTCACACACGCTGACAGAGGAGATTCAGCCTGGCTGAGATCCCAAATCAGTGTTAAAACCAGCCATGTATGTTTTATACCACGGAGCAGCTCAGGAGCCCGACGGGTTCTCACCCTGCTGTCACCCAGTCCCACGGATGACACAGAGCATCTGCTTGCACAGTCACAAAGTTGTCTGCCAGTGATACTAAAAAAGCACCACACTCAGTGCAGAAATATATTTTAGAACAGGATGACAGAGGTCAAGCTAAGAAGGGTGTTAAAAAAGAGCTGGCAGCAGTTACTCACAGTTTTTTTACCATCAGGGAACTACAGGGCATCCCATGGAATGCAAAGTAGCAATACTGACTCACAGCAATTGTGCTGTTTATTACAGCAGGATGTTGAGACATCCAGAGGTGTAAGTGGATTAGATACATATGGGCCTACTTTTGTTGTTAAATCTGGTGGTTGAGTCAGTGTGTGCAGCCTCTGGCTTGGGAAGTCCTTACCTTGAGAAACTGGGGGGATGATACAAGATGAAAGGATCATTCTACATTTTCACCGTGTCCTATTCCATTCTTCCAACCATCAGTTATTGAATGTTTTCAGTGATGAGGTGACAGGCTATGTAGACTTCTGGCAGGAGTATGACAGCAGTCTGTAGTGCCATCAGGCCAGTTTGGGAGGTGCACACCCAGGGCTGAGTCTCTGATGTGCCTCCCCTGACAGGCACAGAGCTCATCTGCTTCAGGACAGCTCGCAGTCTGCTGTGCTCCTCTCAAAAACGGGCTGACTACCTTTCAGAGCAGATTATGTGCAATTTAAATTTTAAAATGCACATATCCTTTGCTCTTCTTGTTCTCCTTTGTGTGACAACTTTGAATTTTAATACAAGTGTCCAAATGTACACTGATAAAACATGCAGCTCATGTCAGCAGTAAAATGCATAGTAATTTATTAACTTCTCGAGTGTGAATACAAATTGATTTGATGAGTGCCACATAATGAAAAATTATTCTCAGTCACAACTTGCATCCTAGTTGCTGCATTATTTTTTCCTTTTTTAATTAAACATTACAAAGAGTTTGAAAACTGCACAACACTTGTTGGTGGCCAACAGGAAACTGTAATGCTATGAAAAGTAACCAGTCCTTTTAATATGTTTTTGAAGAATGCTCTTGATTCAGAAATTAAGCTCTTCAAAAGCAGGTTGCCATATATTGCTTCACCGGGTGTTTTGAAGTAAGCATTCTTGGACAAAGAAAGATTGTTTTTACTTAGGACAACCTCTCAGCTCAATATCTTTAGTTACAAGTCATTAATGCTTTTGTAATATAAGTCAAAGTATTTGTAAAACCATTACAATGTGCTAAAGTCACTGTATATCTCTCCTTCTAATGTCACTGATGGCTGGGGCATTGTAAAGACACAGCTGAAATCTTCACACAGCACAAGCATCCCACATCTTTATAGGGACAAGGAGATTGTTTAGAAAGTATCTGAAACCAATTCATTACATTTTGGAGAAGACGTAAATCTCGATGCACTTTGAGCCATATTCACTGATAATTATTAACCATATAATTTCAGTATTTATTCCTTGAGCTCCCTTAGTTCCCTAGGTGAGCAGACTCCACCTCTGGCAGAGTACACTCAGAGCATTAGTGTTTCCAGAACATCCTGGTTACCACAATGGAAGCTCTAAATGTGTGGTGCTTCAGCAGACCGTGGTGCCAGTTAATGTATTTTCCATGTATTCAGTAATTAGAGCTCTCACCTTAAGTCCCTTCACGTCACACACTGAAAAAGAATATCAAATTCTATGACTGGTCTCTCGAGCTGCTCTTCCAACACAAACATTTATTAGGTTTGGGATTCTTCCCAAGCTGAACATGGTACTAAGTTTACTGCAGAGACATGCAGATCTAGAGACATGGGAAGACCTGATCATTCCCTGGTTTCTGTCCAGCCTGTTAGCCAGACCTTCTAAACTGCAATACCATCTTTGATCTGTGGCATGACCTCTCCCAAGCACTTTGATCAGCACTAAGAAGCAGGCACTCAAAACAGCAGCAGTCAGAAATGGAACACCATTGTTAGAAACACCTTCAATCAAGGGAATTCTGGCAGTTGTTCTTCCTGCTCAAGCCTTGCACGAGAAACCAAAGGTATTTGTGTCCTAACTGGATGATAATGTGCCAAACTGCCTCCGAACTACAACTTCTGCTAAAGTTCTTCTTACAACCCAACTCACTGGATCCCTACCCAGGCCATAATGCCCTTCTGCATGCCTGTTAATGAAGCATTTCAAATGAATACCGGAGACTGAAGGAATTACATGCTGTGTAATTGATCTAAAGAGCAGATTAGGGCTGGTGCTATTTCATTAAATCTTATTAGCTCTGGCTTAAGTACTTAAAATTGCAGCTGTCCTGTGTCAGACAGATTACACCCCCTGTCACATGGCAAGGGAGATTTTCATCTACTAGACCACAGCTTTTAAAAAGGAACAGGCTGATGAAGAGGAACGTAAACAAAGGCCTGTGAAAGCCTCATCTTCAGACACACTGAGCTCCAAGTTATTCATTGGAATGAGATAGCCTAACACTTTCAAAATATGTATGAAGATCTGTTGTTTTGTTTCCATATGTTGGTTTTAGATCACTTCTATGGAACCTGAGCTTGGCTTTTTGGATGAGGAGGAGCCCTGCAGAGTTCTCATGGGTGAGCACAATAGAGCTCTCAAACAATTGCAAGGGAATCCACTGGGTCCTCCCCAAACACCTTCTTCAGTTCTTTTTCTCTTAGTTGCTTCCACTGGAGGTTATTGCTCCTCAGGAACCAGTGAGCCAGCAAGACCAGAGGAAAACTTTGGCTGAAGAACAAATAGCTTTAATCAAGCCAAAAATAAATTCATCTTGGAAAATAGTTTACGGCTCTCAATGGAGAAAGGTGTTTTTTTTGTTTTACCACAGGACTCCAGCTAAATTTTACGGACCCTGACATGCTCAGAAAAGTCTATTTTTCCTGCTTTGCCTCTGACAACAATGGGCTAGGCCTGATGTTCTTTCTCTCATTCTATTCTTCTGTCCTGTGACCTAGTATTTAGCTCCATAATCTCCCAAATCAAACGAAATAGCAAATGAAGACTTTGATCTGAATTTTCTCTACAAGGCATATTGCACTACATTAAATACTTTTCAATATCTAGAACTGCTGCACTGTGGGAATACAGGACTGAAAATCTGCACAACATTAAGCAGGATTTCAGATAATACTAAGGGGTGAAATACTGACAAAAGAACCATAGACTTTAGTTAAAACAGATAATACTCAAGGCTTTTTTTTTTTATTATTATTCCTTTGATGAGAGAATATTTAAGACCCTCTCACATGCAGAGTCACCATGTTAATACCACAGCCAAAGCAGTGGTTCATACAGATAAAGACTAAAGTAAAAATAATCCAACAGATGTGCTTTGCAAATATAAGAAATTATTTCAGCAGATCTTAAAAAAAAGCACAGTCACAGAAAATGCCGACTCCACCTTTAAGAGTTAGGCATTTACAAGTCACATTGATATATAATTACTTTCAACTTCCAGCCTTGTTCACGTAAAACAGTTGGCTCTTGCTCACTGGAAAGACTGAAAATGGTGTGAATGGCCTGTTACTCCCCAGAAAGCTCACCTGGTAAAATCATCTTCCCCTTCTTTTGCCTTCTCACCTCCCTCAAGGAGTAAAGCTCCACCAGAGCAAACAAAAGCAGAAAACAGCTTTAATGTAATTTAAAATGGGGAATCTGTATCTGGATAGAAGATGAGAAGTCACTTGCAAACACACTGCTGTACAAAGCTTTCAACAGCTGCTCCATAGATGGTAACTGCAATTTTAAATGGTCTAACAGTTAACATAAGGAGGTTAAATGCAGGGCAGCTGTTCCCAATCTATATTTAGCCTGAAGCTTCCTACCTGGCTCAGACCTGCAGGAAGGCTTGAATACAGAGATTGTCCGTGATTTTATACTGTATTCCTTGATTTATTAAAGATGCTGTTCTCCCTGCAGGTCTTATTACACTGTCCAAAAGGTTGTGTGCATCTAACTGTAAACACGGAATTTGAAGCATTTTTGTATCTAGAATCTCACCCAGAATTATTCTTTTGTAAATATCCATGCGTAACCAGGCCCACATGACATAAATAAAGATCAGCAATTAGCCACAAATAAACTCCAGGAGAGCTGGCTTTGTGTTGCATTTTCCACACTCTGCTTCAGAAATAAAATCAGGGCAAAAATATAATGACATGCTTTCCAAACACTAACCAAGAGTTGACAAGAACTGATGGATTTTGCATGTTAAAAGTAAATATTTTATTACATATCATGCCCTTGAAAAATTAACTTTGTTTCCATTCGATTTTTGTTCAGCATGCCTTGAAATAGGAACGGCAGAAGCTCTTGAAGGAACAGATCACCAAGACTCACGGCACCGCAGTGACTGCAATCACCTGGCTGAGGAAAACAAAGCAATTTTGGTTTTAAAGTCCTATAAAATATTAAACGGTGAAATTAACAGATCCCATCTGCGTCTCTCCTTCACGTGTGACTGAATTTGCTGCACTGAAAAACCTGTACTGAAAAACCTGTACTGAAAAACCTGTACTGAAAAACCTGTACTGAAAAATCTGCCCGGCACGGACCCACACCCAAAACCCGCTGATGTCGACAGTGGCCATCAACCCTGACAGGCGAGACCCTGTCACTGCTCTGTCCACCTGTGCACACATCCTGCATGAACCACTGGACACATTATTGAGTTCAGGTTCACCAGGATGCTGTCAATGGGTCAGCTCCAGTAAAACATTCCTGTTTCAGAGTAACAGTATTTATATGTGCTCTCCCTCCCTCTTGCTCTAATTTGCCTTCTCATCGCTCTGTTCATGTTTGTTTCTCAAATGCTGGGAAGCCTTTGCTGGCTTGCTCAGGAACCTTGTCTGGACAGTGCTCACAAGGCGTGTTTGCTCACATCTGACATTTTCACAGCACGGGCGACAACACGGAAGATTCAGGTTTTTAAATCCCACAGGTGGCACCGAAGCCACTCAACTCATCTGCAGAAGTACCGAGGGCATCCAGCTTCCTGGCAGCTCCTGGAACAGCTCAGCAGGGCACCTGCATGCACAGCATGGCAGGAAGGGAACCTCACACTCACCCACTCAGGGCCTGGGGGTCAACTGAGGCCTCTCGAAATCCACCCCTCCAGCAGGACATTCAGTGCCTCCAAAGAGTTAAATATGCAAGTGCTATTTGTGATGCCTTCACAGCCAACAAATGGAAAAGTGTGGCAATATAACAGAGCATGTGGCTATTTTACCTATTCAACATTTACCTGTGTCTATCTAGAAGAGGTCTCTAAAATGCTGCTTTTCAGCAGCTTGAAGGTTGAGAACCACCTGTAAACATTTGCGGAACAGCCTCTCTCTAGAAACAGAGACTCCTAAACAATCAACCTCGAAATGTATCATAGAGTATATTATATTTCCAGTGTTATTTACAGATCTTCTTGTTTAGTACAACGAACCAGACATGCTGAAAAGGTAGGATTTTTCCAGTCCTCTTTTATACGAAGTACAATAAAAAAGGCACATGATTATTCACCATAGGAGTTGTGCACCAGTCAAAAACTTAAAGCTAAAAAGCTACCCATCAGAGAACTCTCTTTATGAGGCAGTATTGGGATCTCTCCTTTGAACTCATCACAGAAAGGTCTGTCTCTTAATTCCTCGAGGAGAGCTTAAGGAATCCGCTCTCCTGTCGTGTTCTGATCTTCACAAGATTTCCAAATCAACAGAAAACTCTTGTTAAGCTTCCCACGTCATCTACTGGAGCAAGGAAGAGTCAAACAGGGCGTGTATGTGTCTGCTTTTTGTTCTCCTTCTTTCTTCCCTTTGAATGCCCGACTAAGGAGGACTCTTGGGAGCCGAGACCTGTCCAAAGTAATCTGCTTTAAGACAAATGCCTTGCAAGGTGTGGCACACTGAGCAATGGACGACAGCAGGAGGGGCAGCCCAGCCCCAGCAGTCAGTGCCTGCCGTGTTTTATCCAGTTCCTGATCATCCATTTCTGCCCCGAGCACCTCTGGACAACCAATCTGAGCCCAAAGTTGGCATCCTTCGACATTTCCACCTCTAGACAACGGCCAGTGTCTCTGCTGATGATTGGACCATTCTGGAAAAAAAAAAAAAAAAAAAGAGGAGCAAAAGAAAAGACCAAAGGATTAGAAGAAGGAACAGGGAAGGGGAAAAGTCTAGAAGGGAAACAGTGCTAGATCTGCAAATCTGTAGAAAGCACTGTAGAATGCCTGGAAATTTCCATACATATATCAAGAGATAAAAGCCCTTACAAAGTGGTAGAAATTCCTAGGAGAAGCTAGCTAATACATATAAAGTACCAAAACAACTCTGCAATTCTAGATTTTTTCTAGGAATTGCTGTAAAAATACCCCCCAATCACTAGAAAATCTCTAAAATACACTAGCAAATCCCTACAGAGCTCAAGATACAGGAAATCCCAGAGATTGTAATAACGCTTTTCGAAGTCCTAAAAATGATTTGAAAAAAAAATCTGATCAAACAATTCCTAGAAAGGTTCCAGAAAAAGTTCTAAAACCAACCCCAAAATTCCTAGACACTTAAAAAAACCCCACCACAACAACAACAACAAAAACAAACAAAAAACCCCAACTAAACAAACAAATAAAAAACCCACCAAAAAAACCAAAACCAAACCAAATCAAAACAAGCATGATCTTGTCAACCAATACAGAAATTGAGAATATTCCAATACAGGATAACTAAAAATTCCTAGAAAGCATGCTCCAAAATTCCTCCTCCTAATAAAAGAATTCCTAGGAATAATAATAATAGAATATTCCTGGGTAGCACACAAACTATGAAAAACATATTTAACTATTTCTAAAAGGCATATGGGGGAATTCCTAGTACAGTCCTCTAAAGACCTCCTTGTTTTTCACTGAATACCCTCTAGAGTGTAATTCTCCTCCAATTCGTCTCTGCATGACTCCCTGAGCACTTCCATACCTGTGTGAAATCCCAGAACCTCTGTGCTGGCCTCAGGACATCTTCACACTTCTTCAGGGTGGGTGTCCTGCCCTTCCCATCGTCAACCAGGCATTTGGAGTCGGGCAGGAAGGCGGTGGAGCCCAGAGGCCCCAGCTGCAGGACCCCCTCGGAGCTGTAGCGGACGAGCTGCGGGAGAAAGGGAAGTTGGGAGGTGGTGAGGAGTCCTCTGTCCTGCTGCACGCGGGGTCTGTCCCCACCTGGCACACGTGGTTCAGGGGCAAGGCTTGGGAATGCTATTTAACCAGCAGGGTCTCACCTAGAACACAATTTTCCCCTCCCTCACACCTCTGCTCCCCCACCGCTCCCTACCCACTATTTCACTGCGAAAAGGGCAATCAAGAAAGCGAAGTAATCAATCTGTAAATCATGCCCACTCAGCAGGAGCTGATTTAACAAGGACACCATGTCAATTTGCAGTGCAGTGTGTTCCTAAGAGCTCTGTTAGAGGCTATTGATAGCAACAAGTCTAATTAGTTTTTGTAAATAAACGCCACTGAAAAAAAAATCCCACCGTGCAACCGGGATCCAAAAATATGAGAGGAAAAAAGGAATCGTGAGGGAAATGGCAGCAAATTTGCTAACATATGCTTCAGGCCTCCATAATAAAGAATGACAGTCTGATATTTCAGTTTACCATGGAGCACATTAAAGCAGAAATGCACGATGCTGATTTGGCAGTGGGCCAACACGTCAAATCAGACTTATCTACTTCTCACTTCTGTGTTTAAATGCAGAGTCATTAAACCAGCATAATATTTTGCCCTTCTCACTCTGGAAGTGCAGCACCCAGGTGCCAGAAGACTGCAAAGTGGACTCAGCTACGTGGCCTGTGTGCTGTGAGTCTGGATGCTGCGGGGTGAAGATCTGAGGCACCACAGAAATGCAATTACCACCCAGGAAATTCACTGCCTGTCTGATCTTATTGCTGTTATATGGCTGAAATTACTTAACAAGAAAGGGAAGGAAGGTCAGCAGTGCCTGCCATTTATTGGATGCCACTGACCACTGTGTGAGATATCATTAAGACTCAATCAAAAAAACTCAAATTAGAGCCCAGCTTTCTACCACCATCCTTATTAACCTCAGAGGAATCATGCTGTGAATAATCATTTCTTGCTGGTGGTAAAAAGAGCACGGCCTACTTGGTCCCAGACCAGATGCTCTTTGACATAGTGTGTGTTCATTTTCCCACCTGCCACTTCTGTTCAGAGCAGCCACGTGAAGCAGCGAGTTAGAACTGAGCCCACATCAGAGAAAGCAAAAAGGATAACCACATGAGGATGCTCAGTGTGAACAGTGCCATTGTCAGGCATTGCCTGTACACACTAAATCAAGACACTTTTGGAGTTTTATTTCACTGTAAAGTTAGGAGGGACATAGGTAAAAGAAGCTCAAGCAAGCAAAGTAACTAAAAATATGAGGGGACTGCCAGGTCACACAAGATAACTTTCTTTTTTTTCACATATAAACAACCTCTGAATTTGTGTCAGAACTGTGGACATGATACATCGTGCTAAGCAGCCAAAATCAAATGACAAAATCCCCTTTATTAAGGAATATTAAATCCTATCCATTAAAAAAAAAGTTAGGTTCTGATGGGCTGAGGTCTGTAGGTATCCACACACTCCCACTGCAAGCTGCAGAACAGAAACAGAGTTTTATGCATCACATGGGGATGGACCTTTGCTCAGTTTTTCTGTGTTATCTGAGAAGAGCTGAAGGATCCACACAAATGACACTGAAGCCAAGTGCTCTATTACATACTCAAGATCTAAACCTGATACCATCTGCTGTGCTGATGAGGAGATAGGAGAGTTTCCCTTCAACATTCAGAAAAATCTGAGCAGAATGCAGAAGATGTCAAAGGTTGTTTGTCAAGCCACCATACCTGGTTCAAAAATAGTGAGTGCTGCTGCCTATGGAACGTGATCCTCCAGGAACATCAACGGGGTAAGTAAATGGCAGCTTTTAACTGAAGGATTTGACTTACAAAAAATCCATTCCCTCTAATTCACAGTCAAGTGAAAAAAGCACAGAATGATTACAGATAACTGTTTGTAGGAAACAGTTACATGGATGGGCCTGGTAGTGTTCAACACTAAAATTAACCTCTCTCTCCCAACTCTTGTTCTCCAATCAAAAGGAAATCTTTAATGATCCTTCAGTCCTGCAGGTTAAGGCAGGCTGAAAGCTGACACAGAAAGTGAAACAGCGAGCAGCGAGCTCTAAAGGAATCCCAAACACCTTGTGTCTCCAGAATACTTGTCACCACAAGACACACAACTCACAAGTTACCAAATTTCCCATGTTTGTTCCAGAATCTCACCCACAGCTTCCTGCAAGTGAAGGCACTACCTGTTCATGCTGCCCTGGCATGCAAATCTGGGAAGTCCTACAGCTCTACCAAGCAAAACGTTAAATATCTGCCTTCCAGCAACAGTTTAAGTTGAGCCTTTCATCTCCTCTTATTCCATCTGTTTGCGTGGCTGTGAGCTCCAGGAATCTGAACATCGAGCAAACATATTCCGTTCTTACTAATCTTCTGCAGCCCTGGACTGTTTCTCCCAGCTGCATTTGCCAACAGTTTTTTCCTGAAAGTGATTAGACTCAACCTTCAGATCCAATGAACACATATGAAAAGGACACCGCTCTTCTGCAAAAAGAGTTTTCAAATCAGCCTGGCCTGATGCAAAACCTCGTCTGGATATTCCTGGCTGTTGGCTTACACTGACTTAGCACAAGTCAAATTCATCAAACTAAATTGATGTAAACTCAGGCTAAATGCATTCCAGAGCATCCATAAAAGACTTCATCCCCGTCTGAATAAAGAAATTTAAAAGCTGATGTCACTGACAAGATTTATCACGGTGAAAACTGATCTTGGAATACACACAGGGAAAAGCACCTTGTTCGTGGAGCAGTCCCAGGGAGTGGTTTTATTTTGCCATTGCAATGCAGGACACCACCACTCAGAGGTGTGCAATACCCAAGGGAAACAGAAGGGTAAAGAAGGAGAAGAAAAGAACATTTTATCACAGATGAACAGTAATCCTCCTCCTAACCCAGTTTTCTTTAAACACTCGCCTGGCTGGGGTTGGTTTCAGAGGAACCATGTGTACACTAAAACCACTGGTAATCTGCTTGTCAGAACTGAAGAGCATGAAAGGCAAACAAGGCTGTAGCTGCAGAGGGGGATTCTTTCACCTCAGTGGGACACACAAAGCACCAGTGATAACCCAGCAGGGAAAACGAGTTCCTTATTTATATTCATTTATATTTGGTAGGCATATACCAATAACCCAAATCTCGACTCAGAGGGGTATTTTATGCCCTGTGCTTGAGATGAAAAATGTCAGAAATGGAAAACTAAATGCAGCAGACAACTATGCTCACCCAGGCTGATCAGAAGAGGGGCTCTAAAAATGTTTATTTAATATATTAAAACACTTGCTGTCAACACCTTTCATGCAATGTGCTTGAATATCCTTGATTAGGGTTTGTGCAGCTGTGGTTCTCACACTGAATTAATTTTGTAAATTGTGGTGAGATGATAGAAGTTTTCCAGCTGTGTAATCATTAATTAACTTGGCTGCATTTGAGTGGCTCCAACCCATGCTTGTCTGTGAAATACTCAACTTAGATAAAACATCACCTTTGCCTTTGCTTGGTGATTCTTGCAGAATGAAAACTTTTTTCCTGTTTGTTTTTTTTTGTTTTGTTTTGGTTTGGTTTTGGTTTTTGTTTGTTTGTTTGTTTTTAATGTTCATTTGTTTGTTTTAAAGGGAAATGGAAACTGCTGCAGGATGATTTGGCAGATTAACTTTTTGCCTTCCCCATAGTTTGATAGTTCTTAGACACAGGGGATGCTTTGGATTTTAAGGGTTTGGGAAGAGTGACCTTCTCTTTTTGTGTGTTTATACAGTGCTAGTAGCAAAAGGGCCCTAACCTGTGGCTTCAATGCAAAGCCTAAAATCAGCTTTTCAGGCTTTTCCAGAAAATTTCACAGAGACAGGGAACTGAAGAGCTGTAGCAGAAGCAAGCCAGGAGTGATTTAACTGCCACCATCCAACTTCAAATTCCTGGGCAGTAAATGCTTTGTGTGTTGTTGTTTGCACTTGAGAAGATCTGCCTTATGGCTGGTCTAAGATCTAAAATCCAAAAGGCATAATCTACTGGGTAATGTATTAATATCCTACTAAAAGTAAAATTACCTGATCCTTAATGGATAAAATTGGTCAGAGCTGAGAGGTGAGCTCCTTTATACCCCAAAATTATCAGCAGTTTGTCAGGAGAAGGTGGGCATGTCATACCTCCTTTCAAATAAATTCTCAGGAACTTATGCCCTCATCTATTTTCTTCTAGAAGTCAAAGCATATTTTATGAAACAGAAGTCATAGAGGCAAACAAGTAGGCTAAGAACTTAAATTGCAAAATAAATTACAATCAGAACCACTTATTTCATTACTCTTCCAAGTGGTAGCACACTGATAGAGATTAGATGTTGCTAAGGGACTTTCTGGATGGACTTAAATTTGCAGCTTTCTGGTCAGAATTAGAATGGAGCAAGAGAGTAAAGTCTCTCTGAGTGCCTTGACATCTCTAACAAGAGTCTTCTTGAAAAGGTAATTTACATCTAATTAAGCAATGCTATTTTGTTGCCTCATTCAAAGGCTGCTCCTTCCACCTCTACCAGGAAAGTCAGTCAAATATTCCATAATGATCCTGCCAAAGGTGGACATTTTGTCAGGAGGAATTACTGTCTGTCTCGCTTTGCTTCCATGGTGATGCACGAGCTGGGACTCCAAATCAATGTATGTGTGGCTGAACTTCGGATAATTGTTAAGCCTGATAAGGTCAGAGTTTATTTACACAGGAGAACGTTCATTAACATAGTTTTGATTCAGACCGTACTTCAAAAGAAACCAGAATTACAATTCAGAAGAAGCTCAAGTCCTGGATTTAAATAATATCCAATTTTGATTTAAAAAAAACCAGGTGAAATCACTGTGAGTGTGGAAAGAAGAAATGTCATTTGAAAATCTTCAGACATCTGTAAGAAAATAATAATATGCACAGGGACTGACAAAAAAAAAAAAGAAATCTCATATTTTAGAAAAGTCTTAACTTAGGGGATATTCTTAACTCCCTTTGAAGTTGATGTTAAATATGTGCTTAACTTTTGGCCTTCCTGGGGAATCACACCAGCAGCTTGCTAAATAATTTCTGTCTAGGAGCCTATTGGACCAAGGAACAGTTGATTTAGAGAGGAACCACTCCCAGAGTCAGTCCTGTCACAGCAAGGAGAGCTGCTCACTCACACAAACCACCTACATTAATTCATCTTCAGTGGATCCCTGTTATTTAAACAAATTAACATGATTCTTCTCTTTTCCCAACTGGCATCTTCAATGTACAGATTCACATGCTGAACAGCCTTGGAGAGGGAACCAAAAACACTGGAGTAAGGCCAGATATTTGCCTTTGTAACTCAGGAATACACTGCCAAACTCAACTCAAATGCACCAAATGATCTTTAGTTTTCTCTGAAGATTCTTTAAGTTAAAGGTTCCTCACTGATGATGGGATATGAACCATTTACCTGAGAGGACATCCCATGGCATGGATACAGGATTGCTTTGTCATCCTCCTCGGCTCCCTGGTCCAAGCAGTAGCCACTGGCTTTGCTGTTCCGCACCTGTAAGCAGACCAGAACAAACCCAGTTAGGTCAGATTGGTGAGAAATTAATCTCCAAGATCCAGGTCCAAGCCAGCTGAATCTCAGCTGTGCCACAGCTATTGACACAAGCAGTATGGAAAACTGGTCCTCTGAGAAACACAGGCTTATTCTTCAGATATCACAAGATGCCAACAGTGAATTTGCTCCAGGAAAAGACATTATTTGGGCAACCTGCTGTCTTCACAGACCTTGAGTCAGAGTTGTACTTTCAGCAATTACTCAAGGATCAAAACTCCACAAAATTCCCTCTGACCCAGGCCAGATTTTGCTCCAAATTACTCTTTCTGTAAACATAAATTGTGACCCTGTTGTGTTGAGTATGTGACTTAATAAAGAGCACAGGAACTACTCAGCTTTTGTTTCTTCCCATTGCTCATATAAAACCAAAAAAGCATGTGAAAAAAAAATTATTTGAACTGAGAATATAGTACATTGTTACGTAGAGAAGTGACATAAAGCACACTGCATGAAAGGGTACAGGTTCAGAGATCCAGTGAAGTAAAAAATCCCTTTGCTTCCCCAGAAAAGGAGAATTTACAACTCTATAAAAACTGGGATGGAACTCTTGTGAAAACCCAGGCCCTTCTCTCAAGACTAGAAGCATTACACAGGTATTTTGGACATAGAAAAATTTTACAGGTATCATAAACAAGAAGTTATTTAGACAGATACTTCAAAAGAGTCAACAGGTCATTTTAGGTTTAGATTGTGAAGTGTCTGTCTGACCACCCCGATAATACAGAAACAGCTGCTGCACAAGGTGTCAGAAAAAAATCTGTAAATAATCCTTCATATCACAGTGTACAAGCAGAACAGGAAATCCAATTGGATAAGGGGGATCACCAACAACTAAATTTCAGGAGGTTTATTTTATGACTCAAGTACTATAAAGGCTAAAGAAGATGAAGACAGCTTTATGACATGGCTTTAAAATTGTGAATTGAGTCACCAGGAAATATACTTTTACTACTGTTTCAATCTGTTTCACATCTACTCAATACATTTATTTTCCTTTAAACTCACTAAAATCCAGACATCTTTTCCTCCAGGAAAATAACCAGAGGAGAAAGTATTTAATAACAAGCTTAATGCCATTTAGGATGAAGCCTTAAGTTTTTTCATTATGGGCATGTAAGACTGGAAGGGACCTCTGCCAGTTTATGCCAGCTAAATGGCTTAATGAATTAGGTATCTGCATCACTGAGCTTCCTGTTTGACTCAAGAACCTTCTCTGCAGCCGCTCAGGAGAAACAAACTTCATTTTAGAGCCCAGCTTGCTCCGTGCCTGCTATAATTGACACAACATTGGCAGTTCTGCCAATGCTCTTCGCAGTTAACAGCTTTCTCAGAGCTGACAGATACCAACAGCTCCTGCTGAATTTACTAAATGTCTTTTCTCAGTTACTGATGGGGATAGTTATATCGGGATGCAAAGTGATATCATGCAATAAAAGTTGCACTTTGTATCAACAGCTCAAGTGCCTGGCATATTTTTACATAAAAAGTCACTCAAATGGAACGGGAAGGAACAGTGTCCACTTAGTTGTCTTGTGGGAAAATGTATTGCCTGTGGATTTAATTGCAGTTCAAGTAGACAATTAAATCGAAATTTTTAAAACATTATGCAGCAGGAGAGCTCCTAGAACTTCACCCCAGTTCAGCACCATACATGACAGCAGTCCTGCTATTACAGGCACGTGATACAGATTGAAGAGTCACAGCAGGCATGTCTGACCTCTTTAAAGACTGGGGGCAAGCAAATATGGGAGATTGGACTGGTTCATGGAAGAGAAACAAAAGACCCAGAGAGCTGAGATGAACCGAAATGTCCAATTTCTAACATGTTTGGATCCAGCAGTTCATTAGGGCTGAGTAAACTCCCATTTCAGCTGCCTTGGAGTTGGTGTTCCAAGCTATTACCCAACACTGCTGAAAATGAAAGGACAGAAAATACAGAATCTGAGCACGAGGAAGCAGAACTGGCTTTCCTCTAATGACCTCTTTTTGATGAGGAGATACAGACCTGCCAAATGGTATCCTCACCTCACAGTCCGAACAAGGATATTGTTTCTTTCTATCCTGAACAGGATAAAAGCAGGATTGAAAAAATGAATTAATAAAATCAATGTAATCCTTCAAGTAGTTCTGGCAAAACTCAAAGAAGGGGTTGTTCTTTTCCTGAAAACAACTCAGCAAATTCAACTGTTCTCATTAACTGCAATTATTTTAGTTCTCTTGACTGCTGATGTTTTCTTGATGATGTCTGTGGCAGCCTATTTGGGAAGATGATTACCTCAAATTTATGCCCTCAGAGCTGCTCTGTTTTCAGATGAAAGCCGAGGAGGCTGCATATCTTTGTTAGTGGCAGTGGTTTCACCTGATGTGCTCCAGTGAGAGGGACAGGGCTCCTCAAAGCCACACTTCCTAATGTTGATTAAAAGTAGGGCAGGGCATTTTTGTGGCTGCTACTCGTGCTGACTGTGCTCTGTGCATCCTGATACCACTAAAATGCTGCTCAAGTGCAGCCAGGAGGTATTTTCAAAGACATACAGTACCTCTCCATAAGTGACTGTGTTATTATAAACCCTCATTTCAGGGTACACGTTCTCCAAGTACCACTTAAAGCTCCGGCACTGCAGTCGCTGTCGCAGAGCAATCCTTTCAGAAACGTCTCCAAAGTCAACTCCAGGGTTCTGCAAAGCAGAAAATGAACAAAGAGATCTCACTGCACTGACTTTATGGCTGCTTTCTTCACTGAAACCAAACTGGAGTTCATTTGGTACACCAAGCTGTATTTCCCTCTCTTCTTTCTCTTTTGTGAGCAGCAGCTCATCAAACAGCTGCCAATAAATATTAATGAAAGCCAGTAGAAAAAGAAGGATAAAGAACAAGCAAAAAAACCAAACACAAAGGAAAACAACAAGAACACAGTAAGAATGTTTTCACTTACAGCAATTCTAAATGTTTGCAATCAATCCTGAAGCCTTTGCTTTTCAGATATGTTTGGAATTTGGGAGAAATTCTGATCTAAAATATGGCAGCTTGGTCATGGTTCACTCCAGTAAGAGCTTTGGGTATTCACTAATGTAAATGACATCAGAACAGACCCGTTAAAACTTCAAAGCAAAGCTGCTCAAAAAGTCATTAAGTTCCACTAAGCATTCGTAGAGATCAGCTTTCAGTTTTTACTGGGACTGGAGCTCATTTGCAGACTTGAGCCATAAAACGCAGTTAAACTCAAAACCTCCTTTATTATTCTACTTCAGAATTTAATTCATGGTTAAATACAACCCCACGAAAAGCAGGGGTTGGAAGACTCAAGCCAGTGTGACCAAACTCAGCCATTTAAAAACAGCAGGTGCTGACTTGGAGTCTGTTGATTTAAAGTGTTATAAATCATCGCAGTTCAACAGTAAGACAGGAAGGGTTACCTCATCTAAAAATCTTTTCTGACACTATATTAATCAAATGGACTGAAACTGGGGGAGTTTTGCATGGAATCCATCTGAAGTGCCTCGCACTTTCCCTCCAGAAGGGTTTCTGTACGTTCTGCAGATCAGATCCTACGCAGGGTTACGAGACAGCAGCAAATCTTAGCTCAGCGTTTATTAAAACCCCCCAACAGATGCCTGGTCTCCAGGAGAGAGTACAAGTGTAATACTGAACAGGTTTTTCCATTTGCCACATAAAGAGTTCGCTGTGCTCACTGCTGCTTGCTGATGCACGCCCTGCCACGAGCTCTCAGCGCAGCATCCGTTCAAACGAATGTTAATTCACGGGCTACTTCAGGCTACGTGGAAGGAGAGCAATCCTCCGAGGCACTCGGTGCAATAAGTCATGCCAGGTAAGGTTCCTTCATCACTGAAGTTGTTGAGGAATAGTTCATAAGCAGGGGGATACTGAATATGTGGTTAGCTAAAATAGAGCTGTCCTGACCTGCTGCTGAAGGTTGACAGGACCCTGACCTTGCAGATGTGGCTGAGCCCATCTGCTGACCTGGGCACACATTATGCACAGATTCTCCATAACTGGTAAGGGAGTGATTTGTGACCTGGATGGGGGGAGTTATAAAAGAGTTAATTTAGCTCGGTTTTGGGGTATGGGAAAAGCACATTGCTTTACTTGCCTCCTTTCTGCCCTATTCTTACACGAGGCCATAAAATGCCCTTTTTTCCAGTTCTGTTTTCACAGAGCACGAGAGCAGCAAATTGAGCAGCTGTGAAAATGCTGTGCTTGCCCTCTGGGCCACCTGCAGTCATGGGCAGGGTACAGAGGGATGGCACAAGAACGAGGTGTCTACAGAATTTCCTAAGTGGGGACATTCTTTTCACCCAGCTAGCAAGGTTTCTAGTTCTCCTGCAGAAGGTTTTTGTAATGGCTTATCCCAGCACAGGATTTCTGAGCCATCTGGATTGGATACTACAGTGGAATAACTAACAGTAGCTTCCTTCTCCTGAGAGCTAATAGGGTTATCTTTATGATGCACATTTTATCAATCAATCAATTTATTTTATGGAAAGAAAATTTTAATGTTCAGTACCGCTCCTGATTTTATGTCTTTTATTGTAGATGTTTTTAAAGCTCTGCTGTATGGCTCAGTGCATAAAACTACATCAATAAGTAATCTCAGGGAGATTAAAGGAAATCATATTTTGGTGTAAATGCTTATTTAAATATCGTTTCTCAGAATTCATTTGCAGCTGTCATCAAGCAAGCAAATTTACTGAGGTTACTTTTTCATCTCCTATTTGAAATCTAACCATTTCAGCAAGTGGATACAGACAGAGCCAAAATGCCTTAAAAAAACTTAAAATGGACAGTTTTGTCTTCCTCCTACTGTCACAGAAATCGTGTGTGGGAAAAGTTATGCAGTATTGCCTTTTGTTAAGGCAAAATAATTCTCTGCAATTACCTCTCATGCCAAAAGAAGTCACCAAAAACACCTCTCAGAGACCTTGCACAGTGCCCAGTACTGAGCAGCAGTAAATGAAATTCAGGTGTGTGAGAACATCTGACATATTCACACACCACATGGAGAAAAGGAAACACTGATGGCTTAGATATACATTTTAAAATATATATATATTTTAAAAACCACAACAGGAATGAACAACAATGGGGTTTCATATATTTCCTAGGTACTAAAGTATGAATAGATATTTAGGACACAGAGTAAATTCAATGAAGAGCTTAACAAGACTCCCATGACTTTGATGAAGTCCAGGTCATAACTGAATATTCCCAAAGACACTGCTGGGTTTGTGTATTTTCCTGTTTTGATAGGAACATTCCTGTTTCCATCGGCTCCAATCAGATCTGGACAAAGCCCTGATATAAGGGTTAATTACACCATTATTAACTACAGACCAGGGTATGCTTCCCCTCAGCTCCCCCTTCCTGTGAATCATCTGGATGCAATACAACTAAGGAATCCAGCAACAGTCAGCTCCCACCTGCCTGGGACAGAACACACAGCCCTTCTCTCCAAGAACCACGCTCAGTGGAGATGCAGCACGTGATACACTCACAGAATAAAGTGATAAACTGAACCTACAGTTTATCTAATATTTATATTACATGGATTCCTAAAGGCCCCCACACAGCATCTACAATTCATGTGTGCAGTGAGAAACAGAACGTGTTCAACATGGCACCCCTCAGACCGTGGACAATAAAACAGGTTAATATGTGATTCTTTTATTGCATACTTGGTGTTTTATGCTGGTGAGGTCTACTGAGTGTCGGGATGAACGATGGTGTTTATTTATGGACATTTCTGCAGTCCCCACCACCGGAGCACATGAACGCCTCAGAGTTTAACAGCACCCCAAATTAACGACTTGTGAGGGAGCACATAACCCTGAAACAGTTTGCTCCAGCTGAATTATAAACCTGTGTCTCTGAGCACACAACAGCCTGTGCTGAGCACACAACCAAACCCAGACCGAGGAGGTGAGTTTATAAAGTGGAACTCTCCGTCCTGAGCATGCACCGAGAGCGCTCCTTCCCTCCGCACAGCCCGCTCTGTAACAACGCCCTTCACCTCCAAGAGCTAACCAGGAACAGCCCTCCACGCCGCTGCCTCTGCTCAGGAGAGAGTGTGTGACCCGTACTCACCGCCATGGGGATGTTCCAGGCCATGTAAACGTGCGACTTGAAGTCGTCCATCCAGACCTCGGCGGCGCGCAGGGCGTTGCGCTTTGCATAGTAGTCGATGTCGTTGTTGTAGGGCTTCTTGGTGCGCTCGATGTGCGCCACACGAGAGCAGGGCAGCACCTCCATGCTCCCTCCACACTGCCACACCTGCCACGGGGACAGAGAACAACCACAGGATTTATTTTTTTCCCCACCACCACCTTTTGAGGCAACAGAACCGCTTCGTCTCAGGTGCCGCGTGTAGGGTGTTTGTTGGGGGGTTGTTGAGTGGTTCAAAATGACCCCCAATTTACCTGCTTTGGGGGAGGAGCCCCTCTCTCTGCACAGTGCCTACAGATGAGTCAGATGAATCCAAGGTGAATGCAGATGGCTGCACTGGGTACGTAAGTTTAGAAGCCATAAATCACCAAGTCCCTTCCTCAGTATCCCTGCTCTTGGGATCGTTAGGCAGAGGATAAGTTATAAGGTGGTGACCTCTATTCATAGGGACTATTTTAACCCAGCTGTATCCTCTGCCTGTGCCTGGCACACGAATGGTATGTTGGGAGGGGCTCTAAGGTCTCCCTGGAGCCTTCCCTTCTCCAGACTGAACATCCCCAACTGCCTCAGCTCGTCCCCACAGGAGAGGTGCTCCAGCCCTCTCATCATCTCTGCCCTGAGTCGATGAAGATGGATAAAAGGGGCTGTACAGGAGACTGCATCACCCAGCCTTCCCAGACAAGACTGCACCCACACTGGGCAATTTTTTTTCCCTGTTGATTATTTACTGTCTGAAGTGAGGAATAACGAGCACTTGGCTCTTTGCATCAGTGAGATCTGGAGTGATGCAGGGTGAGTGAAGCTTATGCACACTTCATTTCCCTCAGGTCTGCACCCAGTAGTATAGTCTAGCTGAAATAAATAAAAGGTATTAAAACATAAGCAATAATTCATTGCTTTCCAAGGTTGCCTTTTACTGCGAATAAAAGCACATTTCAATACAAGATGCACTCCAGAGCTATACTGGGGCAGTTCTCCACCTCACCTGCCTTCTCAAGGACAAAGATAAACTGCTTGGGAAGATAAAATCTCCTCTGGTTTGGCTTTCTTTTTTTCTTTTTTCTTTCTTTTTTCTTTTTTTTTTTTAATACTTTGTTAGGTAATATTTACTTGCTGCTTTCCAAACAGTTCTGTAGTAAATCACTGGCCACTGGAATTTACATTTGACAAATGGAGTACTCTGAAAAAACACACTGCTCATAAATTTGGACTGACATATGCTGAGGGTTTCCAGTGCAAAGGGGAAGGGCTACAAAAAACCAAAAGAGTTAATTGATTTTCACGATCAGAAGGGGAAATGAGCAGCACACTTTAGTATACTGCTATTTGCCCAACCCAGCCTGGAAGTCAGTTATTTAATGCACAGCACATTTTTCTTTCTCTTGATATGGCTAATGACCTTGTAACTCTTATTTATATATTCTGGTACCAAGGGCAAATATATTATCTGAGTGACAGATTTATTTCCTTCAAATGACAGTGCTCGCTACAAACCTGAAAAGGAAAAGCTACTAAACTGCAACATTAGAGAAAACAGTTTAGCTCATCTGTAAATTCAATGCAAACAGTTATTTATCAGTGATAAATTCTCCACAGATGAAACCCACAGGGAAAACAGACACCTGGCTTTGAAGAAAGCACAACAAAAAAGGCAGCTCACCCTGCCAGGAGGTTGGTGCTCAGCACTCAGCATGGATCTGTGCTGTCACCTCCTTCCCCTACCCTTCTGCCCCATTTTGCTCTTTAAAGAGGCAACAGCTGCTGAAGAGGGGGAAGGAAGGAAAGAAATAGCCAGGAAATAGTCGAGGAAATTTTTCTTCCTTAGAAGAAATTTTCAAGTTTTCTTTCCTTAGAAGAAAAATTTAACCCAGATGACTCAGCTTTTTTTCTGGGAATATGTAACACCAGTGGGGGAAGTGTCCCAGGATAAGGATGGGATTTCCAATCCCAGGGACAAGAGAACTGGATGTGCAGCATATGGGGCAAGGAGTCAGACAGTTGTGTATCATCAGCTGCACATCATCATGCCACCATTTTTTTCCACATCCCAGGTAAATGCTACTCAACTGTGGGTCATTTCTTGTCAGGCCAGACAAGGTCTCCTGTTTCACTTCATAAAGATTAGCTGCTGTTCAGTGGAGCACAGACATGACTCTGTATCCCCACACCCTTTCAGCCCAGAGTGAAGAGTCTTCTCCCTTTCCAGCCCAATAATTTCCTAACCTTACACTAAATGGAAGAGTTGCAGTAGTACAATCAAACATCTGCATCCAAAACTGGCCAAGATCCCAGGAGTTAAGAGCCATCATGTGAGATAGAGATAAATGCTCAGGGCTTGTGTCTGAATGAGGAGGATGGGAGGTTCAGCAGCACCTTCTTCACACTGGACACAGAACTGAAAGACATTTACGATGCAGAAAACCACTGCCTGTGTGCTCCTGTCCACTGGCTGATCCTGAAACTCATTGATTCCCCTCCTTTTTTTCATCCTCAAAACTGTATTTAATGACCAATTTTAACAGTAGTGGACAACATATTTCTTTCCACATCAAACTATGAAATTATGCCAGGAAATAATTACATGCCTTTATAAAGCATTTATCAAGTAGAATCCTTAAAGTGCCTTACTGGGGGAAGCAAACTATCTCTAACTGGGAGCATAAAATGATGCCCAAGGACCTTCAAATCCACACATTTCAGGCAGTCAGAGAAAACTGACTTCCAGATCTACAGCTTCTGGGACAACACCACATTTCCAACCCAAGCTATCCCTCTCCTATGGAGTTGCCAACACCAAATGTGTTTCAGGGCTCATTTCCCTGAGGAGGTGGAAGTGTTACAGTCCCTCTGAGCTGCTCCCCACAAGGGTGCACAGCACTGAAAAGCACACTCTGCCTTCTCTGCCCCCATGGAGAGGCAAACCCCTTGCAGTACATGATTTCTGTGGGGCTTCACAGCACAGTTTGTGCTCGCTGACTCGGGGCAGCCTCCCTGAGCATCAGCACACTGCAACATTTTAAGACATGATCAAGTAATTCCAAGAGACACTCAATTTATTTGCTAATTGTAGCTAATTTCTAATTTCAGCATTGCTCTTTAGGCTGCTATAAACAAAACTGATAGCAATTTAAATGTTACCACAGCCGTCTTACCTTAGCATTTTTACTGCTAATTATCTCAATCAACTTTTCTATAAACAGACATATTAAGTATTGAGAAGAACAAGTACCCACATCAGGAGTAAATTACAAACTGAATGATAATGTTTGTGGTTTGCACCACAATGATTTACTGACACTAATTATTAGCTATTCCTGTTCACCTGAGATATGCCTGTCCTACAGGAAAGTGTTTATTTATTCAGCAGTCAACCAGACATCATATTCTGCAAAAATCTGAGATGAGACCATGTCTTGTCTACCATGAGCTGAACTGTGCATCAGCAAACCTCTCTGAATGCAGGTTGGGTGCGTTATTTAGAAAGGCTAATAAAGTGCCACAATTTAACTCTCAACAAACAAGAACAAATCTCCAAGGACATGCACTTTCCCATGAGTACTTTTTGCTGAAGGTCAAAAATACCACCTTTAATGGGATTATTAAACTTAAACCGAGTTTTAAACAAGCCTGGTCACCACTGAGCAGGATGTAGAGCTGGCTGGACTGCTGAGCTAATCAGTTCCCAAGTCTTGGCAATATTTATAGAGAGAGAACATTGCTGACGTGGTCCCCAGCTCTGCAGGTGACACCTGTTTCCAACAGCATCGTGCCCTGCAGAGGGAATGTCAGAGCTCAGAAACATCCTGGGATTTCATCTTCAGGTGAGCCCTTTGCACAAGGGCAGCTGCAGCTCCCAAGAGGCTCTCAGTGACTACAGGGAGGGCTCTTCCCTCTCAGTGGACCTACGGCCCTGTAAATTGGGTACCACGTTATTTTGTCCACTGAAGTGACTGCACAGGGTTACTTAGTTTGGTGCAGATGATTTCAGTTAAAGCAAAATCAGAAGGCAAAAATAAAAACAGCATCAGAATGAAGGCAAAGCTGAGGAGACAGTTTTAGCTTTGAAAACTTAGACTGGAAGATCATGATCCTTAAGAACTTTGTCCCTTGCTGTGAATTTTGCAGTTTAAACACCTCAGTGCTCAGTGAGAGAGAAAAAGAAAACTCTCAGACTCTGTTACAACTATTTCTTCCTTCAAGTACACCTTTGATTTAAGCAGTTGGAGAGATGAGGTATCCAAGAACATGTAATAGTAGGAAAGACACTTCAGTGTGGGAGGGATTTGCTTCCAAAGAAACACCCTTTGCTAACAACTTCACATGGACACATCAGTTCTGGCCATTGCTCCGAGCACTGCAAGTTTATAGATGCCACAGCAACTCCAGTGGAGATCCAGCTTCTCTAACACTATAGAAAAATCACTCCATTAACTACATGTTCAATAATCTGAGGCTTTGAGCCCAGTTTTCATAGTCAGCAAGCTCTCTGGACAACCTACAAGGGTGTCATAGTGGTTTTGTGCTTTATCTGTTTCCAGGAACTTGAGGACATTTCAGTGGTTCTTTGCCGAAAGGAATAACCACAGCCTGCATCTGCCAGCAGTAAGAAAATGGAAAGGACCAGCTTCAAAACAACCCTGTGGCAGCAGGAGCCCTCATTTCTGGTGCCCCCAGCTGGATGTGTCACCTGGCACTTCTGCAGTGGTGGCTGCTCAGCACATCCTGAAACAAAACCTGTGTGCCAGAGCTGGACTCTGATGTTTTATAAAGCAGTGCTGAACTCCACCTGAGCAGCACTTCACAGAAGTAGCCCTTCAGATTTCAAACTTTCTCTTCTGAGTGAAGGCAACAGAAGAGATGGAGGAGTTTCTGAAGCAGCTCAGATATCCCTCGTTTATGATAGCCCAGTGTGAGAATTCTTAAAAGTCAAGGATCTCAAGTTTTCTTCAGTTTTCAAGGCAAAGCCTACCAGAGATGGATGTCTTCCAGACTACCCACACACAACCACGGCAGGACTGGAAAAGAGTTTTCTATCATGAAAGAATTTCCACATGTTTCAGAAATTTTGCTGACCTAAATTTTCAAGAAGAACAACAATTTAAAAAGTT